CAGGGAGCCCCAACAGTTCGCCCTCCCCTCCCCCGCCACAGATCCTAGCCGGACTATGCGTCCAACCCGTATTTCATACATTAGTTGCTTGCCTGTCAGTGGCTGCCCTGTCATGCCAACCAATTTAGTTTGATCATTTCACTTTCTCCTTCGTTTATTTCGTCTGACGACAGGTTGGTGTCATCAGGTCGAAAATTCACGAGTACGACTCAATTCTTTCCGACGAGCCTTCTATCTTCTTCATATTATCTCGGAATGCACACTACCTCAATTATTCAAAGATCTATCTGTTCTCCAAGGGTCTGTGCGAATCTAGGATTTAAAACGACAGGTGAAGCATGTTTTGCTTCATTTAGGCGTTCCTTTTTCCTCCTATAGTACGGGCCGTATTGCAGCAGCCACATTGGACTGCTGTCGCCTGACGTTCGTATGTTTTGATTGCTGCTGCATATACAGTGCGTGACCTATCTCATGAAATGTTGGCTGAAATTCTGAAATGTGTTTTCGATTAGGAAGGATTATTTGGTCGCGGTTGTGATACTGATTATCATAAGGCACACTCTTATAACATTTCGGACTCGGCAGGATGTCGGCTTTAAAATGCACTTCTTTTCAATCTCCTGTAAAAAGCGTACTCTGTAAAAAGTGATTACTTAAGTAGCATGCAGTTTTCCCATTTATTTTCGATGGTCTTGGAAAGTCAAATATATTTTATAGAAACCATAAACAAAAATATGCTTTCTTTTAGTCAGTCAATAGAGAATCACGTCTTCTTTATATTTTACACTTAAGGAAGGAGTACAATTAGGTTTTAAAAAAGTTTCTAATGATGAGACTTTTTAGGACCGCGATATGTCCATTCACATAGCATCGTACCTGGCCGTTTACCCCTGCTCCTCATGAAATTTACAACACGGTCCGCATCCATTGCAAACTTTTATGGACCCTGTATGATATCTCTTTAATGACATAGAAAAATATGGGATTTTCTTTACGCGGAACGCATGCACCCTGTAGAGTGTAATAACTAAGCGCTAATGCAATGAATGATCATGCTCCAAATTTTTCGGCAATTAGAAAACTTTTTTAAAACCTTATTATACTCCTTCCTTAAGTATAAAATATAAAGAAGACGTGATTCTCCATTGACTGACTAAAAGAAAGCATATTTTTGTTTATGGTTTCTATAAACTATATTTGACTTTCCAAGACCATCGAAAATAAATGGGAAAAATGCATGCTACTTAAGTAATCACTTTTTACAGAGTACGCTTTTTACAGGAGATTGAAAAGAAGTGCATTTTAAAGCCGATATCCTGCCGAGTCCGAAATGTTATAAGAGTTTGCCTTATGATAATCAGTATCACAACCGCGACCAAATAATCCTTCCTAATCGAAAACACATTTCAGAATTTCAGCCAACATTTCATGAGATAGGTCACGCACTGTACGTGCCTAGCAAAAATACTACGTAAAACGAATATATATTTAACGGTAACTGTCTCAGATCCGCTGCTGTCCTTTTACAAACAATATCCCCAACATTAAGTTAATTAGAACTTACTGATCTCCGGTAAAGCACCCATCCTCTAGCCTCTTGCAGAAGAAGAGACAAACAGAAAGCCCACACATATGCAGCTTCATGGAGTAAAGGATGCCCAGACGATTCGGCTCAAACAACTGCTGCTGGTAAAGGTTAAGCTAATTCGAATAATCCAGGCACGAAATTAATTTTTTCGATTCCTTGCTCCATCTTGCTCCTAAGTTCGAAGTTTTGGGATGATAGGCGTGAGTTCGAAGTTTACTTACTAGAAATCGACTGCGTCCTTGCCTACACAGAAGCCTTGTAACCACATACATTATCCCACTGTGTGTTGTCAACTTTATCGCCGATGATTCTGCAGTTCATCATAACTTTAGAAGCTGACTACTGTTGCCTTGTTGGATGCAAATGTTAAAGTGGTAATCACCGTGGACAACCATTATCGTTGGGAATCGCATGGGGTTTGCTAGCTGGATTCTTTTCATCGGCCAAGGAGAAGGCGCCTCAGTAAGTAACTTTGTCCAGGACGTGAGTCATCCTTCTGATTTTAAATAATTTTAGCATGTGCTGGGTTTCTCGCAGGCAGTCAGACTATTATGCGTCCCGAATTTGGATATGGTCTATTCTGACGACGCCCGTAATCAGGGTAGTTTACAAGATGAAGAGGTCCATTCTCATGCTGCGCATTGTTTGAACTTCCTACTAGGGGTCCAACAAGAGACTCTCTGCGTTGCTCAACACACTAAGTTAAGGATAATTTCCCCTAAGAACCAAGTATTTACCAATTATTTTCGTACTGTTATTGCGTTTTACAATCACATATACTCAAAACGCTCACAGTTGTCCTTTAAGCCTTTCAGACTAAACGCTCTCGAGGGACTCTCTGTCCCACTTGCACCACGGTTAAAATGGCTGCCTGTTAGTCCTAGCAAAAGGGCAGTCAGAACATTGTAAAGCGAGACAATAACAGTATCGCACGTGCGTAAAGCAGGATAAATGCGAACCGAAGTTCATAACAACGGTTGAACCCAAGTGTAAGGATCAGCCAGAGAGGAGATCCAAAGGTAAGCGCAAGCAAAGTACTACATCTGAAAATGTCCGCCTTAAAAATGTATGTGTACAAGCAGTGTGGTGTCAAAGCATATGACATGGAATGCAGTTCAGTCCGTCTTTTGGGCCGCCTTAGTGGACAGTTCGATTAGGCTACGAAAAACCTCTGGTTTACCTTAGGCTCAGACGTGTATGGGCATAAGCGGTCGAAAACGTGACGATACGTTCAGGCCCCACTAGGAGTTCTCTGCCCAATTTGATGTCAAAAACTCTTACCTCGGACATACGGAGCTTCCCCGGTATTGTATTGCAACGGTGGATTACAGGCCTATTAACCAGGCTTATCGACTCTTGCCCTTATACAGTCAAGAGGATATTTATAAGCATGTTATCCTCCAGCCTCCTCCTCCTCCTGGGCGTCGCCTATTGTCCTTGTTACGAAGGACGCTATTCAATGTCTATGTGTTGATCGCCGTTGTCTGAATGTTAACCGAATGTGTATCCTCTCCATTTCGCTGTATCAGCCGTCCTTTACAAACCTAACATGATGCCCTTTCGGCTGGCGAACGTGCCGGTCAAATTTCAGTCGCGCGGAGCCATTACCGTCTATAGGAAGTTCTTCGGGAAGAATAATGCTCATCTCCAGATGATTCTCCTAAAGTTGGGGGACATTAGCTTTGTGCGGGGGGCTGAGAAGTTCAGGGTCCTCCAAAAACAACCCTATTTCTGCAGTACTTTCAGTCGACATCGGGTGCCCATCCCGCCCCAAACAGAATCTCCCGATTTTGCAAGTTACTGTTGCCCATGACAGGCCAGGAAGTCAGTAGTTCCGTTGGTCTTGCATCCTGCTACAGAAAGTTTGTCCGAGGGTTTGCTGAAATCGCTGCGCTTCTTCATCGACCGACCGAGAAGTCTAGGTTCGTCTTATGGACCACGGAGTGTCACCTGGCTTTGAAGGAATTTAGACCGGCCCTGACCTTTCCTCCTACTTTGAACCGCCCAAACGTTTCTCAGTCTTCTGCCGAATTCGTCCCTGAAATCGATGCCACTGGTAACCGTTCTTTCTGGACGGGCTATGGTTGGAGAGAGATAATAGCGTTTGTCAGCAGACAACTGAACGAACACAAGCTGCCGGCTGTAGCATATTTTTTTCAATATTTAAATCCCTATCTTCTGGATTGCCACTTCGTGGTTACACTGACCGCAATGCCCTGCAAAGATTGCAAGCTTTCTGTGATCCAGAAGGGTAAGCAGCGCGCTATTGGGAGCGACTACAGGCGTACGATTTCACCTATGCATACAGCCCTGGCGCAAAGCATCAGAATGAGGGCGTTCTTCTTTGATGTCCGGTCACACCTGGTCGGGCCTTCAGTGTTTTCGTCGCGTCTGTTAACGCGAAACTTTGGGCTTCTGCGAAATTTATGGCGAACAGCTACATAGAACCAGGAAACCGACTAGCTGAACAATGAAAGGGAGGTCAGCCATAAAGCACACAGTGCGATAGTTGGGTCAGGCGGTAGACTG